GGGGCAAGCGGCAGGGGAAGGCACCTGAGGGGGGAGGTGGTGGCGCGGCTGCAGGTATCTGATTGCTGCCTGGGAAAAGGCGAAGTGCTTGAGACTCCTTTCCCAGCTCTTCTGCCTTCCATGATAGCAGCGGTTCGTGCCCTGCTCGCAGCAGCAGCGCTAGAGGCGGGGAAAGGAGGGAGACCTGGATTGTTTGGCGTTCTAAATCCCACGGAGCGGGTTAGCTTTTTAGGGCATTGGTGTTTCTAGAATGGTAAAGCTGTTATTTGGTGTTATATCTCTTTCTCTCTGCCTCCTCTGCACCCCCCCACCCCCCCCCCCCCCCACCCCCCGATCTGAGAAGGTGATCAATCCAGTAAATGCATTCAGTCAGGGTATAAAATATCAGCTAAATCTTGAGAGTACCAAGTAGGATCCCATGAAAACAAAAATGAAGGTAGCATGCCTGTATTTTCTCTTCTGTTGTAGAGCAAGTTTATAAAGATCTAAGAGAAAAGGCCTTCACTCTGAAGGATTTGCAAATAACTCTGTTGCAAAACCCCAGTAACACTTGATTTCTCTGCTGTGCAAAGCTGGGCAGCTGTCTCCATCGCTTGGTACAGGTCTATCCTAAGAAAAGTCCTGTTAGAAAATAAAGCTCTGCAATGTGTGATTCAGGTCACCCTGCCGGTTGGTGGGAGGTGAATGGCTCGGTTTCGTTTTCAGCTGAGAGGTGGTTTGTTGGTGATGGTTATTCAGTCGGTAATGTTATCTTTTAGAGTGCAGATCTATAGCCAATAATAGAGCTGCACCTTTTAACATAATAATGATATTTTGAACAAAACCAAGTTAAAGAACATAGCCAGTTCATAAGCTGGACTTCTATTCTAAATTACTTCAAAAAGCCTCTTAATGCTTTTGTGTCGTTAAATCATCATCAGTCAGTTTTCTTGCTCGTTATGAGCCAAATTATGTATTTTCATTTTTGGCTTGCATAAATAAGCAAGGACTCTGTACTGTAGCAAGTTGTTATAGCCAGTTTGTTTTAAAGGATGTAGGATAGCTTGTAAACTAGTTGGCTTGCAGTCAGATGCACAAAATCAATGCAACTATGTCTTTCAGTTACAGGAATCTGAGGGGTTGTTTGTAAGAGTAGCTGCATACAGATTTTTTTGGGGGTATCCTTTTAAAACAAAGGAATTTAAGAAATGTAATCTCAAAATGGCTTGCAGTACTTAAAATGACTTGGTGTGCATTCTTTGGATTCTGAAATATTTGAGCTCATGTAGCACACCATATTCAAATGAATTGCTGTAAGCGCAGAGGGAGGGGGAGAGAGTCAGTTTTTTCTATGCTCAGCAGAGGGAGCACCAGTTAACAAACGTTTTGTATAAATATATGGTTATATAACCATGCACAAATAAGGAAATAAGAAAATTGTAAGTCTCATTAGATCAAGACAGACAAGCTATAGTCAGTGCTTGGAACAGAGCTTGCCAAACACCTGCAGATCTAATTTGACTGTGATACATTCACTTATGAACAGCTTAGGTTCGCTATTGATGTACCCTTTACAAGGCAAGTACTTTATTCATTCAGAATGGGTGAAACCATGATAATTTTAACTGGCGTCTTGTAAATTTCTGTAGAGAGTTTTTCTTTATTGCCTTGATTTCCCTGAAGCTTTGTCAGATGGTGTGTGACTTCACAATCTAGAAGTTAATGTGTAATTATTCCTGTAGCAGCAGTAATAATGGAACTGCCCTGGTGTGGCTGGTTGCTTTGGCAAACTGCTATGCAAAAACAGTCTTGGAAAAAAGGTGTTAAATTCAGAGGGAAAAAACAGTTTGTACTCATTTGGTCCTTAAAACCAGTTTTATACATACTAGTCAGCTTGTGCAGTTCAGTGCATCTCTTGAGAATGCTTTTGCCATTAATAGCTTGAATTAGGCCTAATGTACGTGCAGAGAAGAGGATGAGAGAGAGGAACAGATGGTCTTTACTTACAGTATTTGAAATGGAGAGGGAAAGAACTGTGGGAAGGGAACAGATTTCAGAAGTTACATTTCTATTACTTTTTGACTAGAACTCTCTACTGAATTTTCATGATCAAATAGGAAAACCTGGTTCAGGTCTGTTCAATAATACTTCTCTCAAAATTGGCTTCAAAGTGAGCAAGGAGTATATGGATGGAATGTTTGTCACTTAAATCTGGGGGCTTGGTATACCTAAACTGAAGTTTGAATAACCTGTTGGTATTATACTTGCTAATTTTTACATGGAGTGAGGGACACAAATTAAGTTTGCCGGCTATGCTTCTTTGTAAAGATTATACGTTGAAGCTATCCTTTATACCCTGTTCTTTGGATTTGCATAGGCTAAATGGTATTGGAAGACAGCATCTTGTGATGTGTTTTAACTTCTCCCACAACTATTCAACAAGTCATTGCTGTCTTTGGAGAGGACAGTTAAAGGGGATAGTGACTTTCCCCTTATGTACAACATAAACAGCCCATACCATTCTTTCTGAATAACCTGCATATTTAAGAACACATGTACTGGGCAGCTTGTGATTAATACAGAAGGGAAAAGTAATAGCTGACTCTTCATAAAGAAAAAAAACTTCTCATCATAAACGGATCAAACATGATAGAGCAGTGGTGTTAATATGCAACTTTTGTAATCATGTAATTAATTCGCCTAATACTTTAACTAATTTCTGAAGAACTTGCATTCTTTGATAAGACTAGCTACTCATTTTAAATCAGATAATTTGGACCCCAGGCCTGCAAATGATTATGCACACATTTAATTTGAGGCATGTGAGTAGTACCTTTAGTGACCAGACCCAAACAGGGTAGTATTTTTGGTTAGTTTTAAATTACTATAGCCTCAGTTATGAAATAAAAATATCAATGGCTCCTTTGCTCCGGAATTAGTTTATATGTATATACTATGTAGCTTGTTAGCTTTCAGCTTGCAATTCAGTATATTCATTTTACAAAGGAACCTTTGTTCTTGTTTTATTAGAACAGTGGCTCTCAACCAGGGTGCCATGATATCTTTTCATAGGTGCTGTGAGATCACATAACATTATCACTGTTAGTTGTGCAAACATGATTCACAAGATAAAACCACAATTTCAAATAGGAATTCATAGTATCCAAATATTCTGACTTCTTGTGGTCTTTCTGAGCTCTTTGTAATAGAAAAACATCAGCAAGTCTTCTGTGGTACAGAATTGAGTGAAATATAGGAGGTGGCGTTCTGCAAAGGGTGATTTAATCCTGAAAAGGTTGAGAGCCACTGTTAGAATTTTAATAACTGAATATTGGTCTGTCTCGGACGGCCAGGGCCGACTCGAGTTACGCTTGTACGTCAGGGCGGGCTGGTGAATGGAGAGGCAGACACAACTTATTGGTTGTAAAAAACTTTACTCACGCCGCTTGCAATCACGACGCAGGTGGTCCGGTCGTCGGAACAACCACACGAGTTGTTCCAGCTGGTGGGGCCCAAGCCAGTTAATCCGTCCGCAATTCAAAGCCGGCAGGGAAAGGGGTACGTCGGGGTTGCGCTCGGTGACGGGAAGAAAGATTGATAGGTGATCAGTCTATCGATCGGCAGCCGCAAGTCGGATAACTTCAGAGACACTCTGCAGCGTGCTCAAAGCTCTTCGACTTGGGCGGAAGTCGCGCGGAATTTTAAACAGCCAGCGAGCCAATTACTAGCCGCCACGTGTGAATAATTTAGCACTGGCCAATAGCGGGGCACAAATTTGCATCCGAATAGCGGGAACTCTTTGCACCGTGCATCTCTGTGCTGCAAAGAAGAAATGCATCCTGCAAAGGAAACTGCGAATTGGCGGGAACTCTCCTGCACGCAGGCTCTTAATTGCAGCAGAACACTCTGCTGTGCAAAGGAGCTCTCATGTGGCCAGGAAATTCCATAGTGCCGAGGCACAAAAAATCACTGGGTCGTGACATAGTCAACTAGGATCTCTTCTTAAGAAGACACTTCAGTAATTCAGGATGTAAGGAAAAGGGTCGTCTTGGTTACTACTGATTCCCTCTCTGGAGGTCCTTTTTCATAGATTCGTAGATGCTAGGGTTGGAAGGGACCTCAGCAGATCATCAAGTCCGACCTCCTGCCTAGGCAGGAAAGGGTGCTGGGGTCAGATAGATGACCCCAGCCAGATGCCTGTCTAGCCTTTTCTTAAAGACCCCCAAGGCAGGGGAGAGCACCACCTCCCTTGGAAGCCCCTTCCAAATTTTGGCCACCCTTACTGTGAAGACATTTTTCCTGATGTCCAGCCTAAATCTGCTCTCTGTTATTTTGTGACCGTTGTTCCTTGTTACCCCAAGAGGCGCCCTAGTGAACAGAGCATCTCCGATCCCTTGCTGTGTCCCCCTAATGAATTTGTAGGCAACTACAAGATCACCTCTCAGTCTTCTCTTGTGGAGGCTCAAGAGGTCCAGGTCCCTCAGTCTCTCCTCATAGAGCTTGTCTGGTAAGCCCCTGACCATACAAGTGGCCCTCCTCTGGACCCTCTCGAGTCTATCGACATCCTTGAAGTACGGCACCCAAAAGCCTTATGTTGTTGGAAAAAACAGAAATACCTAAACCTAAAGGAACTTCACTTATTTTAAGTATATTTAGCATTCCTTAAAGGTGTCAGTTTGTAATCCCCAGAGTCTGGTACCTTGTCTTCATCCACATAAGTATAGTTGATACAATAATAGTATGGAGCCTGTTATATTACTCTACCACTACGCATCAACCTTGAACCCCTGATAACATGAAGGAGAAAAGAGCTCCGCTGCCTCTCGGGTTTTGACCTTTCTGATGGGACTACCAGGAAGGGTATTTGTTGGGATGACTTTTTGCACCATCTGCCAGGAAATATACTATGATCAACTGTTCATTTTAACACAGGTCACTGAAGGCAGAGATGACTTTGAGTGACAGCTGTCCTAGCTGAATTTGAACTGGGGATCTAGAGAAGTCAGACTCTGCATCCTATTTCCTGAGTTCTGAGCACTTTTTTTTTCCTTTGATAATACTAGTGCATATTACTAAGCTTTGTTATGCTAAAGCCTCCAATTCAGCCCCAAGCTTAGCTAGAGCAGTTACTTGAACCCATACAAAATCCCATTAAAGACAACGGGCTCCGAAGAGAGGTCTGTACAATAACATAGCTCAGACCTATCAAGCTTTTATTGTAATACGTAATGTTAGTTTAATTAATGCATAGAAATTAAATCCTATTTATGTGATTTTTCTTTTTTTTTTTTTAAAGTAATATATGCTAGTTAATCCTACTTATGGCTGGCTGACTTAATTGACATGGAACTATGACGTGGTAAACATGTCATAAAAATGTCCATTTAACTTTTCTAAGAATTTTATAAATCTCATTAGGTTATACATCCATACATTTTTTTTTTGTATGTGTGTGTTTATAACAAAAATGAATTGCAAAAATAGAAACCTGAAGCCCCTTCTTTTGTATTTGAAAATGTAAAAGTTTGGGTACGCCCTTACTTATTGCTCTTTGATTACCTCTTTCTTCTCCGGTATTATCTCCTAGGTTCTCAGTAGCATATATTGCTTTCTAGAAAACATCATGTCAGAGGATTTTGGGGGTTTTGTTGCGTGTTTTGTTTGTTTGTTTTTTTAAATGAAAATCTGTTCCACTGTTTCAATACTAGAATATTCATTTTTCACTGAACAAGAACCCCCCCCCTTTTTTTTTTTTTTTTTTAAAGCCTAAACTGTATAGGTCTGTAATTGAAGATGTCATTAATGATGTCAGAGAAGTTTTTCTGGATGAAGGAGTGGATGAACAAGTCCTTGTGGAACTCAAAACAGTAAGTTTTGGTTTGTTTTAGGGTATTTGTTGCTTGTAACACACTAACAATTGGGTAGTGCTTACTGTTTTGTATTATGAAGGTGAATTTTCATGATCCTAAGCACTGCATTCATCATTAGATTTGAGCAGAGTTGTAACTACAGATAGTAGTATATCTTTGTAAACAGATTCTCTGTAAACACCATTTAACTTAATGATGTGTTTTGCTTCAGACATGATACAAGTTGATATACAGCAGATGATGAATGTTTCATGTGTTGGCTACATGCAGATTCAAAATATTTATCAAACCTTCTTTTAAAGGGAAGCTTTATGCATCTACTTAAGAAATAAAGTTTTCTCTTGAAGGTAAAGAATATTTTTTTCTGTCTGGTAAGCCAAGAATTTTCATCATAAATTGCTCATCACTTGTAGGTCTTATGACTTTGGATTTGCAGAAATATTCCATTTTCTGACCTGGTATATAATAAGCTTCGCTGAACATGTCTTCATATGCTAAGGATTTAGTAGGAGATGGTCTGAAATAGGGTGTGGATTGTGTCCTAGGAATTAGAACTCCTGGGATGGAGGTCGCTTGGGTTGTGGTCTTCCTCTTCAGGGAAGAATGAGCAGGACACAAGTAGGGGTGCACCAATTTAGAGATTTGGGGGACAGATACAGATAGCCGATTTTGTTGTTTTGCTTTTTTAAGGAGGCATATCAACCGATCCAATTTCGGCTATGCAGCTCTTCAGCTTGAAGAGCTGCATCCAGCTGGTAAGTCTGGTGTGGTGGAGGGTAGGGGGCAGCTCAAGGTCTCTGCAGGGATGGAGGGAATGGAGCAGGCACTGGTTGGCTGGGATGGGGAGGTCTGCGGGACAGAGCTGCAGACTGCTCATCTCGGGGGGGCGCAGCCCCTGGATCTGCAAGTTGGGCTGCAGCAGTGGGCTGGTGTGGGGGCCAGCTCCCACTGCTACGTGTGACTTGTCTGGTGGCTTCCACTACTGCTTCTGCCACCTGTCTGGGAGGGCATGTGGGGGGGAGGGGGCATGTCCCTTGCCCCTGCCCTGCCCTGTGCAGATATGGGGGCACAGGGGCCCCCCCCCATGGGCAAGTGGTGGGAGCAGTGGCCGGAGTCGTCAGATGAGCACCAGAAGAACCACATGCAGTGGTAGGAGTTGCCCCTCCCTTCCCACACACCCCCCCACCAAAATGAGCTGTACCCTGGCCCCGGCCCCAGCCCCAGCTAGGCAACCCCAACCCCACACCTTTCCTTGCTGCGGGGGCCTTGATCTGCACCCCCATGCCCCTCCTCCCTCCCACCACACCAGACTTACCAGCTGCAGGCAGCTCTCCATGCTGCTGGCTCTGCTGCTCGCTGCCTACGTGCTCCAGCTGCATACACGCACGGTTGTTTATTGGATATATTATTGGCTGTATCAGGCCAATTTCCAATATAAACAAAAATTTCTGTATCTGTGCTGGTCCAATATTGGACTAATGTATCAATGCACCTCTAGAAACAAGGCATGCCCTGGGAGAGAGAAGGAGAAAAAAACAGGGTATGGGGAAGGGTACGAACTAGGCCTGTGCGAAGTGACTAGTATTCACTTCGGATTTGGCCAATTTTTGGGGAACAGTGATTTGATTTGGTGATTTGAATCACTGTCCTGAATCGAATCAGCCCAATCTAATTCGGAGATTCGGCTGCATCTCTGAATCACACAGGCCTCATCGCCTGCCCCGCCCCAGCTTCCAGGTCTTTGTGGGGGGAGCCCTCACTTACTGGCTGCTGCCAGGCAAGGGGCAATCCCCACTGACCCATGCTGCATCGGGGGTATTCTTTCACAAGGCCCCAGAAGCCCTGAGGCCGCTGCAGCAACCAGTGAGCCTGGGAATTTTTGTTGTTTTTATTTTTTTCTGTTGGTTTGGTTTTTGGGAGGCTGGGACAGTGGGCTGGGAGCCAGGGCATGTGGGGGGAGTGGGAAAGTAGGTGGGTGTAGGAGCTTTTTAAAATTGTTTTTAAACAATTAGGAGCTGGGGCAGGCAGGGCAGCCATGGAGAGGGCTGGGGGAGTGGGCAGGGGTTGGGGAGCACTCGGCAGGTCTGAGGGAGCAGGCAGGGGATGGAGTCTAGCAGGGGTCCTCCCTCCCCTTCCCCAACCCCTACTTACCAGCATGGAGTCTGGATCCAGCTCCATGCTGCAGCTAGCAGGGACTGCCTGAATTGCTGAAGCTCTCCGAATCTTTTCCAAATCGATTCAGACCTTTTAACTGGTCCCCTGATGCAATTTGGATTCAGAGATTTGGCCGCCGAATCGGGCCAAATCTCTGAATCAAATCGGCACCTGAAGCTTTGCATAGCCCTAGTACAAATCAGTTTTCAATAGTAGATTAAGGGAGGTGGGGGAAGAACTTGGGGTGGCCTGAGTGCCTGGGGTTTACACTTGAATACAGGATTGAGGGTGTGGGGTGAATCCTGAACTCTATTACCTTTTAAGAAAAGACCTGAATGTTGCAGACAGAAGGAGACTGTTGTCCCATGAAATAGGTCCTTTGTTTGATAGGGGAGAGAGAAGACGGGTTGGAAGAAAAGGATTTTTCTTGTGTTAACCACATTAAAGTGGGTTTTAACTGCAGAAAAAAGGATAGAAAAAGATTGATTGGGAGAAGAGACAAGAGAACCAGGCGCTGGAAAGATTATAAAAGAAGGGAGCTATAGTTGAGACTTGAGATGAAGATTCCTGGTTTCTTGTAGGCTGCTATAAAGAATAGATTATCTAGCAGCCTATGCTTTTATATAGGTGAGTAGCAGCCACAGCTTTTTTTCTGAAAGTATTGTGCTTGGAGGCTTGTTAGCTGCGGTCAAAAGTTAAAGTATCAAAAATGCCCTGGTATCAAGAATGTGGATACTGTGTGGAGGGAAAGCCTATAAATGCTTCTACATAGCCATTATTCTTTGTTCTGTTGAGGGCTTCTGGTGAAAGCTTACCAGATGAGTCCTCTTCCTTGAGGCTTTAGGTCTTCAGAAATTCTAGAAAAACGGGTTAAAGCAGCGTTACTGTGAAGATCTGTTCTGGATGAGAGGAAAACAAAAGAATGGAAGTGCATGGGGAAAACCGAATAAAGTCATTTTACCTAGAAGTGGAGCCTCCATTTTATCTCTGCTTTCTTGCTTTTTCATATGTGGAGTTATAATGATCTTTCACACAGGGCAGAGAAGGTATTCTCAAAGTTAAACTGACATTTTAATTCCCATAACTTATTCCTTTCATTCTTTTTATTAATTTGCCCTAGAGAAGGGCATATCTCTACCTTATGTATGCATAAAGGTTCAGTGGCTAAGTTTTTAATATAAGGGATAAACACGGACTGAATTTAACTACATACATTTAGCAAAGTTTTCATTTAGCAAAGTGAAAATTACACCCATGTGTTGCACTTTTTTTTCTCAAACCAGCTGTGGGAGAACAAGCTGATGCAGTCCAAGGCTGTAGATGGGTTTCATTCAGAAGAACAGCAGCTTTTGTTGCAGGTCCAGCAGCAGCAACAGCAGCAGCAGCAGCATCATCACCACCACCACCACCACCATCATCCCCAACCACAACCACAGCAGACACTGCAACAGCAATCCCAGCCACAACAAGTCCTTATTCCTGCATCCCAGCAAGGTTAGACTGAAATACTAATGTGTCTGAAAGACTCTAGTTAAAACAGTTTTAATAGGAGAAACTAAATCTAGGGGAGGATAAAGTCTTTGAAGCTTAATTCTGTCTCTGTAGATGTAGTTTTTGGTATATTCCCTTTTCTTTCTTGTATTGTTCGCCAAGTCTCACATGGATATTTTTTTCAAAGCAGTGATTTTTTTTTTTTTTTTTTTTTTTTTTTTTTTTTTGTCTTCTGTTACGATGATGTAAATCCCAGTGGCATTCGCAATCCTACTGTTACAAGCAAGCTGCCTATACCATATTGTTCTAATTATCACTCAAGCCTTTTTATCAGAAAAAAGGATTAAAATTGCATTTAAAACAAATGTTTGTTTTTTTTGCACAGAGCTGACCTAATCCAGCGCCAAACAATGTTGCTATTATTGCATGAAGTCTTATTTTTGCCTTTACCTCTTCAGAAACCTGGATATGTATTTGGAGAAAAAGCTGTTTTTCTTAAAACTGAACCTGAAAATAAAAGTTGTGGGTCAATCCCCCAACTGGAACAGTACTGTATATCAATGATTCTCAACTTCATTAAACTCAAGACATCCCTCAGAAGATGCCAGCTCTTAGCTTTCTTTTTTTTTTTTTTTTAACTACAGAGAAAGCAATTCTTTTCTTGTACCCCCCCCCCCCCCCCCCCACACCAAAAAGTTTTTCCCCCCCGGACCACATGTAAAGATGTTTTTAATCCTATGGATTTGTATTTGAAAACTTTGGGTTTATTTTGTAGGTATTGGCACACCTAACAGTACTGCAGCGTGCTGATTGAGATTTGCTGTTTGTATGTGCATTTGAGAGAGAGTTCAGTAAGGAGACAGATTTGTTCTAATGATCAAATAGAACTATTCTAAAAATTGTATAAAACATCAAGTCTCTGGAAATGAGTGGGGTGTTGTAGACTGTATTTTTTTTATATACAGTCTCTTAAGAGCAAGACATGACTTCCATATTAAAATTCTGTGCTAAAAATGCACTGGTTAGCTTGTAAGCCCAGCCAGTTGTACGTGTATAGGTGTGTGTTTTGAGATAAGATAGTGTCAAATAAATAGTATCATGTAAATAATCCATGCATTAGATTTTACCTTAAGATTTTTAAAACTAATATGATGCCACGGCTACACTAGTGCATCAAGGCCGGAAGTGGGTTTTTTTTTTTTTTTTTTTTTTTTTTTTTTTTTTTTTTTACAGCTTTCACAGATTGTGGGTCCTTTGCTCATGGGCTAGGTGCAGGATAGCGTCTTGATCTTCCCTAAACTGCACACCTTGGTGGCAGTTCTGGCTTGCCTTTTCTTAATATTGTTTTTTAATTATATAGCTTAATTTGCGTTAAGTTGGGTGGAGCAAATATTTATACCCTGCTGCATAAACACAGCCTAAAACTTTCTACATGAAATGTGGCAGAGTCTACAGTGTGCTGTATTAAAGTTATGATTTTCAGCAAAATTAGTGTTCTCTGTATTGTGGAAATTCCTAGTTATGCATCATTGTACTAGGTATGTATGAATACAGAAGAAAGCGTCTCTGCTCTAAAGCAGTCACAACCCAAAGTATAAGCAAATCCATGCATCTGGGCAAAACATTGGTATATCCATTTCATATTATATTGTCCATTAATAGAAGGGATCTCTGTCTTTAAACCTTGTAGCAAAATGCTAAGTCTACTTGATTACCATAGTCCTCCTGGGAGCAAGACCAGATTGGATAGTTACAGTTCCACTTAAGGACATTGTGATCACTGCCTTGTTAAACATTTCTCTCTCTCTTTTTTTTTAGTCTTAACCTAAAATCCTAGAAGTCACCAGTAATCACAGATAAATGACTTCTGTTTGGAAAATGTTGGGTAATGGGTATGCCCTCCAGTTCCCTAAAGAAGTAAGTGTCAGAGCAGGGAAGCTTAAGGAAATCACCGAATACAGTCTGGATCTAATTGGATAGCCATCTCTCCTCTCCTTTCAGGACTTCTGACAGGTCATTTTGACAGTCAGACCATACATAGCTGTATATGTGTAGCAAGCATTTCATGGTAAAGGGTAGATAGCACGACAGTACTTCTGACTGCTTCTTGTTTGTTCTTCTTATGACCATGTTTCAGAATTGATTCTATCCAAATTGCATTGAGTTGACACTTTGTGGTTTTTGTTTTGTTTCTAGCACCTCAGCAGCAGGTTATTGTGCCAGATTCCAAGCTGATACAGCACATGAATGCATCAGGGATGGTAAGAATCTGAAGTAAACCTTGAGTAGGCTAGTGTTATGCAAGATGGTCTGATTAAATGGTAGAGATAAAAATCTGGTATGAGTCATCTGAAATGGAAAAAATAAAAACCAAACAAACCGAGAGATACTGCACAGCTGAATGCTGTCTGAGTTGTACTGCTTTGCTGACGGCGCAAGCTATTTATCCATGGCTTATTTTGTCAACAGATCTGGGGTTTAGCTTGATCCTCTGCTGTAAATATAGGTTAGACTAAGACTGGTTTGGGGTCAGACTAATACTGGTGCAAATCTGTATGGTGTTGTCCTTTTCACATACAGACAGTCCCTTTGTTAACATAGTACAAATCTTCTGTTGTATTTACTAGATGCAGAAAGGTCATTCTGAAACAGTGTAAATCTTAAGGTCATAATAATTTACTCTGTAGGAGTTTGAATCAACTTTTCTGATCATCATTTGTTTTGACTCCATAAAAAGTAATCTACTACTATTCAATCTAACCATTTACACATTATTTACGATTAATATTGTTCCCATTGCTTGACGTTAAGTCTGGTGTATAATTCTGTAGCCCAAGATAACCAGATCACAATTTATGTAAATTGAACTTAGTTCAGTCTAAAATGGTGTACTAGAGAACATTAATCAGTGATCTGGACACCCTCATTGTATATACAAAAGCACAGTAAAGAGAACTGAATTATTAATCAAATTAGTAGTTGGTCACTAGCCCATCACCTGATGGATTGCTAATCTTCTCTTAAAGATCTTAGTTCCATTTGACTAAGCAGTATGATCAACTGGAGGCTGCTGATCGCTGCTTTATTTTCCTTGTAAAAAAAAAAAAAACAATGGATGAAAGCAGAGATTATTTCCATGCCCCTCCTCCTGTGTGTTAAATTTTTTTCCCTAGCTCTTCCTGTCCAGTCATACCTCACGGAATATAAATGGCTGTCAAAGCATATACTCCCCTTCAGTAAAAGTTGACATGCTTACTTTAAAGGACAGCACAGAATCTATACAGCTAGTGCTTAAAATCTGTACTAGCTAGTGCATAAAAGAAACACTAGATTCAGAAACTTACTTTTAAGAAACAATGTCAGAGAGACTCAAGTTATCAGACATAGTTTAGTAACTGTAAAAGCAAAGAAAAACGTGAGCTGTCTTTTAGTAAGGAGGACAAAGGGATGGTGGAAAAAGCTGTAGCTTGCTTCAACTCTCACTATTTGGGAGAGTCTAAGGAACAATTGCATCAGTCTGCCAGTAGGGGGAGATAAGATTTCTTAAAAACAAGACAAACACAAAAAACACCGTTTTATACAATAATAAAGTTTTAAATCCTTTCCTCTCTTTCTTTATTTGCAAGTTTGTAAATTGACATGAAAGTACAAGAGCAACCTGAAGCACTTCACATACTACTACAAAAGTTCTGCTTAAACTCAAAACAAATTTAGTCTAGTAGAACTTAAAAGTCATGCAAAGCTTCAGTTTGACTGCATTTGATCTATTCTGACAGTCAGCCTATGTATGGAATGATTCTGATTCCTTTCTTCCTTCCTTCTGAAATACTTATGTTGGAATATAATACAAGAACTTATTTTGGGTCTGGACTCAATTTAAATCCAGGAAGGCTCTTATAGATTTCATAGACCTTGGGACTAGAAGGGACCTCGGAAGATGGAGTCCAGCTCCCTGCCCCAGGGGCAGGAAGTTAGCAGGGGTTTTTAAGCTGTTTTGCACATACCATCCCACCCAATCGCCACCCCCCAGCTCTTTCTTTAAACTCTTCACAAGTTGGTGAGTCATTTCAGGCTAATTTCCAGTGAGGAAGGACCTCCAAAGGAAAAAAGCCCACTATCTCACTTAGTGGTTGGGTTTCTTGTCTATTGCAGCACAGAAGCTGACCTCTTGCGATGGCAAGGATCTCATCTCAAATACAGAAGTGCAGGGAGGTAACAAATGCAAGGACTGAGGCCAGAAGGGACATCAGCCCTATTGCCTGGAAGCGAAGTGAAAGTCCACTTAAAAAAACCAAACAAAACCTCTGAAGAGAATCACAGAGGCCCAACACACTGGCAGGCCATGACAGTAAAGCCTAGATGGCAATTTTAAATCTTCTGTGAATAGCACAAAGCATTCACTAGGGCAAACTCAAAGAGAGGGGGCATATGTCCCTGGTCCTGTATTATTGGCCTCTAATCTGAAAGCAAAGGAGAACACTCAAAGCTTAAGAGGATTGGTAAGGCTAAGGCCCCCCCACAGCCATTGTGTCAGTAGTTTATATGAGAGTTCAGTTCTCTAAGCCCTGACGTCTCTGCCTCTCTGCCACTTGTTCCCAGTGCCCCACATGAGGGTGCCCTTGCCCAACTAATGGAAGAAAATATCAGCTCCCTAGTATAATGCATCAGCCAACAGCTCAGACCCATAGGGGCCACCATTCAGCATGAGGTGTAAGTTGGTGGTGAGCAGGACAGCAGGGAACTGTGGTGTCACCCAAGGTCCATACTGGAGCTGCTTATCCTGACGCTCCAATCCTTTAGCTTCATCTGTCCTGTCTGGGGGAAGCAGCTCCTGGGGCCTTCCGGTAACTTATCTTGATCTAGTGTCCGCTGCTTGTTTCCACGCTGCTTCCCATCTACCCACCCATTCCAGACCCTCCACACACCTTCCCATCTGTCTTGCCTATCTATCTGGCTGTCTAGCAGTTTGTCTACCCACACTGTCCATTTTTCTGCAGGTCTGTCTATCCTCAAACACTCCCCTGTCTGTCTGTCTGTCTGTGTATAATGCATTAGACAGGCCATGTTTCTTTATAGACAGCTGAGCTGTTCACCCTGTCTTTCTAACTGACTGTTTCTCCCTGCTCAAGCCTTAATACAATTCAAGTACCCTGCTTCAGTGGCATGGAGACTGGGGCAAATGGTTGGAAGCCCAGATATTGAGAGTTCAAGGTCATAGCAGAAGCACTCATAGCGTGGCCATGTTAAATTCCAATGACTCTGCATGTTCTGCTAAATAACTTGTCACAAGGACACGAGAAAGTGTTAATTAACACACAATTTGGGTGTTAATTTATTTTTTAGATTAAGATATTTTTCAGCATTTGTTTGACAGTTTAAACTAAAAGGATCCAAGTATGTATATACATCAAAGATGTATGCCCACATGTGGCTTCTTTGTTATACAGTGGACCTCTAAGGTAAAATTGAACCTTATAATAAATACCTGTCTTGTTTGTGTATGATGATGCATCTGTACTTCATGGCCACTATTTTAGCAAGTTCTTTGATTTCTAAACCTCCATGTAGTAACTTGAGTACAGTATTAGGATTCTTCCACAAGTTCTTGAGCAATCAACTCTAAGCTTTGATTCTTTTTTCTTTTGTATTCTGATAACATATCCGGAGAGGTTAGTCAATCATTCTCGAAGTGTGGGCTGCAGACACCTAATGCCAATCTCTTTCATACATATTTTTATTAAGCTAATGTAAGACATTACATATAAAAGAGGACACTTTTATAATTTTTTCTGAAGGTGGTGCATCCTTCAGTACAGAAGTGAGTTTGCATGCCCATATGCTTTTGGCTAAGTACAGACAGTCAAAAAGCCCAAGGCTGAACTGATTCAATCTTTGCAGGTTAGTCTGACCTGCGTAGTTTCAACTGATAAGCTAGTGAACAGACATTCACTCTGATTCTGGCAATGCAGCCACATGCCTGCAGTGTCCCAGGCAAAAATCCGGGGGGTGCTAGAGCACACCTCCCTGCTCCACTGGAGCAGACAGCTTGGACCAAGGCTAGCCTGCCCACCCTGTGAGGGGGTATTTGCAGGGGAGGTGCAAAGCATCCTGGGATCCTAGGGGACTGAGAGTTAACTTGAATCTGGAGGGGATCTGAGACAGAAGCTCAATAAACTAATTTAACCTAGATCCATTAAGTGTGTTATTGCATCCATCCAGGCTTATGTTAAACCAGTTTCGGACATCTTGGAAGTGGTTTATATGCACTGAACTTCTGTTGTGGTGTAGATTTTGAAGCAGTTCCTGATCGCTTGCACTGGTTTATATCGCTTGCACTGTCCATAGCCTTTGACTTTTGAAAATCCTTCTTTACTTATTTTGGTTTTGTTATTTTAAACTCTAATAACTCTTTTTAATAAAGGCATTATGATTTTTATATTTACAAGAAAATATTATGTTCTGCTACTTAACAGCCAACCAGAAGGGAGAGCATAGTTGAATTAAACTTTTATCAGACAAATAGAATCATGTTTTCTTGTAACACGTACAGCATCAAGGGAGAAAAATAAAAGCTAATAAATGTGAAATTGTAATTAAAAAGTAGTATAACATGCATATGCTAGCTATTGATCGTGTCCCTTTTAATAACATAGATACTCATGAATAAATGTTGGTAAACATCAGTAGAAATTATGGTAGGTGTCCTATTTGTGATCATATGTTCTTTTAGTTTTCAACTAGTATTTTGTGACACGAAGCATTGTTGTTAATATTGATAGTTAAAGGCATATTTTCTAATGTTTCAGAGTGCTGCTGCTACTGCAGCTACTTTGGCTTTGCCTGCTGGTGTGACTCCTGTTCAGCAAATACTTACCAATTCAGGTAACTATTGTAGCAGTAATTGGATTTTGGAAAAGTTAATTCATTTACAAAGCTGTTTTATTTCATGTAGAACTTTTTATAAAAATATTTTCTTCATATCTTGCAGACATGGTTGGATGTTGTAGACCAGGTTTGGCTGGCGTGCCACAAATTAGCCCTGCACCCTCGAAGTGCCATTCTGGTCCCCTTCCTCTGCCCAATCTCCTACTTTGCTTTATGCTCCATCTGTGATCTCCTGCTGTGCTGCCTGTCCCCTCTCTTCTGTCCTGTGCCACACAGAGGCTGCCAGTGCCAGTTGTGGCACTCATGCCATAGGTTGACCACCCTTGCTGTGAACTGTCCCCTTGATTTCATTTTGAAGCAGCAGTGTGTTTAAATGATAAAATAACTTCTAAAATTCTCAACTTCTTCTCATTCATGGAATAATAAATTGAACTTTCTTCCTTAGTTCTTTCTCCCAGAAACCTGCTTCTAAGCATAATATACTTTTAGATGTGGATTTTTACATTTTGAATAATTATATTTCCATTGCAGGCCAGATCTTGCAGGTAGTTAGAACTGCAAATGGAGCTCAGTATATCATTCAGCCACAGCAGCCAGTGGTTCTACAGCAACAGGTTATACCACAGATGCAGCCTGGTGGTGTACAAGCACCTGTCATACAACAGGTAAAAAGACATTTTTGCGTAAGTTGGCTCCTAACTGTAAGTTGTTATAGTACTTTGTTGTCTGCATTTTGAGAACAGGTGTATGTGTTCTTCTGTCTGAAATGCATTACAAATATGCCAATACTGTCTCTGAAAATTGGAAAGTACTGCATTAAGAAATGGGGATCTTAAGAAATTCAGTGTAAAGAGTTAAATTTTATTCAGCTTCTCTGAAGGGTCTTCCTACCTACTGTGTATCCAATGTTACCAATTAAAAAAAACTTAAACATTTGTATCAAATAACATTGGTTTTCATCCTCCTGAGCTTTACATTGGTTTCATGTGTCCCTTCCTTCCAAATTAATTGTGCATGTAATCTCTTGAGTATAAATCCTTGTGGCAAATAACTAAGCAGTTGGTGCGGGTTTGGTTGGTTGGTTTGTTTGTTTGTTTTTTAAAGCGCTTTTTATTTTTGTATGGCAAATATAAATTTGCCACAGAATAGAATGCACAATTGAGGTTAACAGGGTTCTAATCTAACACCTTATCAAAGGGGAACTGTCGCATACTTTGGCCTAAATATTAGGCAGGTATAAGTTTTTAAATGAGGTATTTTAATAAGATCAATTAAAATGATTTGAATTGAAACGTTCCCCCTCCCCCAGGTGCTTGCAGCTTAACTACTGCAGTTACACAAATGCATGAGAATAGGACAATGAAGTAATAATTTTTTTTTGCCCCAATTTGTGCCAGTTGCAAAAAGTAAATCCTGCAAATAATGAAGGATGAACTACCTTGTTTAAAAAAAAGATTAGCTTGGCCATCAGAAACGCAGTACAAAGGAAAAGTGCTTTTACTCTAAATGGTATGACTTAAGATTTCAGTTGTAAGCGGTTGCGCTTATAGTGCTTTGTGCCTGAATGCTTCTCTGATCTCTCCCAACAATACACTGGTGTAATACAATATATGCAGTAGCACCCAGCTTCTTTGCAGGCTTTGTTTCCTTAGCCCCCTAAAAACATGAGGATGTATGAAGTAGCCAAGGGGTAAATATAGCCCATCAGGGCAGCTAACCATGTTGCTTCTCCTGATCAGCTGTGCAAGACCAATGATGAGGTCCTTCTGAGTGAAGATGTGGCATCCTTTTGAAATAAAACAGCAAATAACTTAGCAGCTTGCCCTTGTTTTGTCAACCTGTCTTGAATTAAGAAGGTTGTGAACTTGGACGAATGACCTGGCTTCTACCGTAATACTTTACTTCCAAATCTTGGCTACTTATACACATGCTCGGAGGAGGGAGGAAGGGGGAGCATTTTAATTAGAGCAGTTTCTGGACAGCTGCTCTAATTAAAGTGCCACAATGTCACATGTATTAGCCCCCCTGCGTGTTTAAAAATGCGTGCATTCCATGACTTTTAGATAAGTGCCCGGCGGCCATTTTTAAATGCACAGGGACTTAATTGGTGTAATGCTGCAACATTCTAAGTAGAACGCAGAGCAGACTTGATTAACTGAGTCTGCTCCGATGCAATCCAATTAAAACGCATCAGAACACATGTATAGGCAGTCTTTGTTTCTTATATTCCCTGGTCAGTCTCAGCTATAACACTTCTGCTGTCAAGTATGCACAATGATTTACTTACATTAGAATCTCTTGTCAGGTCTTGGCTCCTATCCCTGGAGGGATCTCTCAACAGACAGGAGTGATCATTCAGCCTCAGCAAATCCTGTTTACAGGAAATAAAACACAGGTCATACCTACCACTGTGGCAGCTCCTGCCCCAGCACAAGCACAGATTCCTGCAGCTGGTCAGCCACAGGCACAGCAACAACAGGCACAGCCCCAAGCACCCCTTGTGCTTCAGGTTGATGGAGCTGGGGACACATCATCTGAAGAAGAAGAAGATGAGGAAGAAGATTATGATGATGATGAAGAGGAAGACAAAGAAAAAGATGGAGGTGAAGATGGCCAGGTTGAAGAGGTAAACTTACAGCATAACGTAACTAAGGTTTTTGCCTTTTTGACCTCGGCATTCTACAGGGGTTTCATGTTGAGTGACTTGTTTGTTCACTGTGAACTTCTAAACAGTTTCCAGAGTAGCTACTTTCCAGAAGACAGTCCTCCATACTGCAGATGGAGCTAGCTTCCACATTTAGGAACAGGAATGCATGCTTTTGGTTTTATTAACTAGGCCCAGGCTACCAAACTTTAAAACTCTTGTCCTAACTTATTCACAATACCACCAATCTTGTATCTGTGAACTTAATCAGTAGTGATTTAGCAATCTCTATGAAGTACCCAACTAGAATGGCCCCATTTAAGGATGATTCCCTCTTAACAGCTCTACTCTGTGAAGTCAGCTTACCATTTCTTAAATATATTCACTATATGTTCTAGAGATGCTGTAAAGTCCAGTTTTTAATAGGAATATTGTCTAGTATCAAACATCTTACAGAATTCTTGTTATATCTGTGCAGTTTCCTTTATGACCAAATTTCTGTTTTCAGCAAGTAGTGATACCAAGTTTTTTTTTACAAGACCTGTTCTCTGGAAAATCCATGTCAACTTACATTAATTGAGTAATCATCTTTTACTTGATCAATTGAATTCCTTATCAGCTGTTTTTTGTGCTGGATTGATTTGTAGGGTGACCAGTGTACACTTGCCCATGTTATCCTGTGTTCCTTTTGGATATTGGCACAACAGTTGTACTCTGTCAGTTTCTGGAATTTCTGAGAATTATTAAGAAACTAACATCAGAAGGGTGGGTCTCCTCAGCATTTTGTTAGTTTAGCCTCATCTGTTCACCTGAGTTGTTAATAAATTGAATGAGCTAGTTCCAGCTGTTTTTATCAGTTAAGATGCTCCTAATGCATAACCTGAAAGAGTGGAGGAAGTGGGGGCCAACTTTTTTGATAGGCATTCCACAAACTGAGCCCCACACCCTTGAGTGCCACCCAGACTCTCTTCCCTTGCCCACTCTGCTTTTTGTTTCCTGCCCTACTTGCCATGGTTTAGCCTGCTCCCTCCTGGCTCTTCCACATGCTACACATGAAGATTGCTTGTGCTGCTTGTGGCATACATGTTGCAAGTTGGGCACCACTGCTTCAGTGCATCTTTCCCTTATCTGTTTAAAGATTAACTGGCATAGTATTATCAAGAATCACTGCTGTAGGGGATTCAGATTTGCCTTGGCACAACATTGCAAGTAATTTAGTTAATGAGGACAACAGGGAGGGAATATATAAGGATGCTAGCCAATTGCCCCTCAAGAATGATAGGGCAGCAGGGGGGTGGGCAGGGATGGAGTGCCCCCCCTGCATACAGCCCTATGTAAGACCGCTGTGTCACTGCTGCCTGCAGGGAGCAGGGCCTTGCCCCCCTGCTCTGCCACCTCCTGTTTGGAATGTTGTTGGAGCATTGATTGGTCGTCTGAAACGACCAATCAGAGTGCAACTAAAACGTTACAGACAGACTAAGGCTTTTATAATATTAGAATTTAGAGAGAAGGATTTTTCTCCTGTTCAGTATGTATTAAACTATTTTTAAAATGTTTGTTTTGCACAAAAGAGGAATTTGTTGCTCTTCCGGACTGTTCTCAGAGGGGATCAAACTCTCCGTTTCTTGGGCAAACATTCTGGTAAAGGTAATAGCAATTAACACGCCTATGGGAAGGAACTGGAAGAGACTGCGTAGGGGAAGTAATCCAGTACTAGATACAAATATCCAGTCTTCCATAATGGAGGCTGGTGTAACATGTTCTAAAAAAAGTACCTATGTGAAGTAAGCCCTGTAAGCCAAATTGAAAGTTCATGGCACTTCTGTGCTGCTACATGCCAGAGTTAGTTTGGAAAATGAAATTTAGCACTAGTGTCTTTATCTAGTGATATGTGAGGGTGTTACATGGCTAATATTGCAACTCCACTCTTTGGATACTTTGGTTTTAAGGGCTAGGTACAGGCATTCAAAAAGCCTGAGGCAGAATCGATCCAAATTATGCAGTTTTCTGTAAGCAGCATAGTTCAAAATGGTAGCAAACGGAACATGCTTGCCCTTTCATGGGGGGGACAGATATTAGACTAGGTTATGCCACTTTTAAACCAGTCTGTGTCGAACTTCTGTTTTGGATGTAGACAGGCATCTGATCACTTATACTTGTAAAAGTGTAATGTCTGTACCTGGCCAAGAAGCCTGTCTTGTGTGTTGATCACTGGGCACAGGCTTCTAAAAAGGAAAAGTTGTAGGTGCCTTCATTTAGTGACAACTGCAGGATAAGAATGGCTGATTCATAAGATACTGCAGACTAGATATTCTAGTTCAGAAGTGGGGAAAACTAAAATTCCACCTTAGGATGGCTAAAGGCATAAGTGGAATCCCTAAAGGATGCACTCGGGCACAGTGGAGTCCTGCTACAGGTACACCTGCACCTACTCTTGAGACTCTAACTTTGCAGCTCGGTTTCTTATTCTGTCCCCATGCATGTAGCTAGAACATAGTTTTGTGCATATAATGAAGATGGCGGTAATAGCTGTAAACTTAATGACTGGGGATTAACTAGTCTTAAACTTATTTGCAAATTGCTTTTTCAGGAGCCCCTTAACAGTGAAGATGATGTGAGTGATGAGGAAGGACAAGAGCTGTTTGATACAGAAAATGTTGTGGTGTGCCAGTATGATAAGGTAAAGTGTTCTAAACAATAGCATTAGTATCTTTCTCTGCTTTTTCACCCTTTTTCTTCTTCCCTCTAGCCTCCCTCACTCCTGTTCAAGTCATGTATATACAGTATTGCCAACCCCACTGTGTCAATAGTCACAAGATAAACTCTTTAAAAAAAATCAAGAGATCTAAAATTATAAATCATTAAATGCTATTTTTGAAGTGTGTTTGGGGCGGGGGGTAGTATTTGGCGGGGGGGTGGAGTCTGGGGAGAGGGTCCTTGCACACCCTGGCAGGATACAGGGTACTGTGGGTCAGGAGAGGGGCAGCTGCAGGGCTGGCTGTGGCTTGGAAGTAAGGGGCAAACACACAGACAGCACCCAGCTGTAAGTGGAGGGGAAGGGGCGGGAGTTGCAGCTCGAGGTCCCCACGGTGAGAGAGGATCCTTAATAGTGTCACCTTCCCTCTGTTCCTTTGACAGACAACTCTTAAGCAGAGGCCTGGCTGTAACTTTTGATTAAGCTGTGACCCAAAACCTTAGTTACGTTATGCTGTCTGCATGTAATGCAACATAATGGCTATGGTGATAAAAATGAGAAATGAATGCAGCTTTTGAACTAGACCAAACACGAGGTTACTCTAACCATCCTTGGGACAGATGTCTCTATGTAAATCCCAAAATAATTCTAGCCTTAGGGTGGGTTTGTGGCACCTTGGCAAAGAGAATGAAGTGTTTTTACAACCTTTGGCATGCCTGCTGAAACCACTAATGAGTGTCAGTACTAAATGTGGTTATATTTGATAAATGTGGATAGATCTAAATGTGGACAACCATCCACTGAGACCCTTTATAGCATTCTACATGGGTGGCTAACAGAATGAACTTTGCTTGCTATAAACCTGGATTTGAAATGGCAGTATGGTGCCTTTCTCTGTTTTGCTCAGTTCTGCTGAGTCATTCAATCTCGTATGTAGTAGCAACCTTCTGTTAAGAGCCCTGATCTCAAGGATGAGACAAAAATAAAGAGAGCCTTCTAAGTATAATAGAACAGACCCATGAACTCTATTCAGCTTGAGCAATTGGGGCAAAAAGTATTCACTATTGTAGATTTCCTTCCTTTGTTTGGCTTAAGACTGGGTTAATAAGACCACAGTGAACTGATTACATTAGAAAAAGGATAAAAGTTGTCTAGGTCTCTTCATAACAAAGGCATTTGAATGAATGAAAAACAAATTGGACTCCCTCCCCTCCCCTCCCCCCCCCCTCCAACTCATGCTTTAAGTGCATGTGCAGTAGTGAAAACAGATAGTTTGCTTGCATAGTGTCTCTGTATCTTCTGATGTTCTCAAAGGAATTGAGCTGCCCAGCTCCTTCTTTTTTATTAAATTAGGCACCAGAATAGATTTGGGCCTTGCTATACTTAATCTTGTGAACATTGTTCTCTCAGGTCAGTGTCTCCTTTAGCACTACTCCCCTCGCTTGGGTACAGCTTCAACCCTGAAATGCATGCATATATTTAGCTTCAATTCAGCAAAGGTGAGGTGGATTTGACTCCACTAGAAGCAAATCACTACTTGAACAAGCTTAGTTCCACAAGCATCATACCTGCTATACTGCAGTCAGTCATATAGGGTTACCATATTTCCAGTATCAAAAAAAGATACCTGTTGGGGGAGGGGTATATGAGTGTGGGAAGAGGGGCAGTGATATATATGCTCATGCCCTGCCTTTACCCCTCACTCCTAAGCCCTTCAGCCCTGCTGCCCATGCATCTCCCGCGCACACATGCATGCACACGCACATGCATGCGCATGCACACTGTGCGTCTTATCTGGGAGCTTGCCGGGCCTGTGCACAGAGCCAGTCCCAAGCTGCTAATCCCTAGGAAAGCAGAGGAAGTACAAAAGCCTGGACATTTGCTCGTGCTTTAAAAACCGGGCACGAGGGCAGGGAAAGGACACGTCTGGGGAAAACCCGGATGTATGGTAACCCTATATTTCACTGTAGCTGTCATCTTTATAAATGCTTATTGGCTAGCATACTAATAAAATCCACCAAAAAAATCTTTCAAGAAAAAAATGTTGATTTCTTTGGCAAGATAAGCATTTGAATCTTTGTATAGCAAAAAGTTAAAACTTCTACGCTTTCAGAGTGAGAACTTGGGTGGAGAAAAATCCAGGAGTCATAGGTGGTAGTTCTTCAGAATTTCTCAATATTTAAAGAGAGATGTTGAAGAAAATACTTGGGGCAGTTGGAAATATTGCAAATTAGGAATAGTATCTTAGGTACTAAATCAGTTGCTTTGAGAGTATCGTTTTGAGTGGATAATGACAAACCTATATGTTGTGAGAGTTTACTTTAAAATGCAAATAGTTTTAACTATGCATATGTAGTTTGCCAAGTAATCTTACTCTTGGCAGCTATCTGGAATGAAAACAGAACACGTTTTAATGAAAATGACACATTCTTTCTGTGTGCACAGTGAACAAATTAAACCAAAATATACATAGTTTGATCATTAAGCTTTTAGCTATAATCCACATAATTATCTTAATTGTAGTGTCCTCTTTTGCTTCTCATTTGGGGAGGGAGCACAAAACAGTATTTTGGGAATGTCTGAGTGCCCCCCAAGTCAGCAATGTTTGTGGCTGAATTCCTAAACGGTGCCTGTGTTCTCGTCCCTGCTGCTAGGAGTATTGCTATTGTTGAACCACACACAGTCCTAGCAAAGACTAAAAAACAAGACTCTTCATTCTCAGAGGAGTGTCATCCTCACTGGGGTATAGTCAGGCTCTGTCTTGCCCCTTCCTCTACAAGCAGGATTTCAAATCTATCTGGCCCCTTGGGCTGGATTAGTGGTGACACACCAGTCTTCAGGTCAAATCAAGTTCGCAGTCCTCCCTGCTCTCCCCCACCTCCTCTGCCAGATCCAGCACCCATAGCACCCTGGAATCTGTCACGTGCAGACTTTTTCCAACCCCCTTTCTTCCATAAAATGGTTATTTTTGTTTTTGCAGTTCCTGCTGTTGTTAAAGAGTTCCTTTGTATCTCTCTCTTTCTTTGACTGTTCACCCTCAGTTGGAAAATAAGGTGAAGATGCTGCTAGATATGCAATGATGCTTTGTTCTGGACAATTTTTGTTTTGGGACCATTAGATCAACTTATATGGCTACTGATCATTTATTTTCATTTTCCTTTCCAACTTTGTAAACTTAGTTGTGAACTGCTGCTTCTTGCTTCTGATGTTTCTTGTTTGATTTGCTTTTGGTTTTTTAGATCCATAGAAGTAAAAACAAGTGGAAATTTCACCTCAAGGATGGCATCATGAACCTTAATGGAAGAGATTATGTATTTTCCAAAGCCATTGGAGATGCGGAATGGTGAAGTTTTTAAGACAAAGCATAAAACTCCCCCCAAAAATAAAAAAGAAAGAAAAGCAAAAGCAGGAAAGGTTGAGACTTGGACATGCATTTCAACCAAAACTTATCTCTGCACATCAGAAAAGTACAGTATAAACAAAACTACCAGGACAAAGGTAGAACGTGGCAACATAGACACTACTTCAGTGGGCAAGCCATGGGACTGTAGCAACTAGCATTGTCTGGGAGCTGGTTTTGTGTGTTAGGAATACCTTAATTGTCAATTCTGCATACAAGAACCTACAGCTGGTAATTAGCATGTAAGGCTTTGTCTCCCCTTTCTTCCCCCTGGGTTAAGGTTTTAAAATTTCTTCCACTGATTGAATTCCTTTTTGATATACTAATAATCTGAAAATGCTTTGTGTGTACAAAACTTTGCTTTGAACACTTCCCTTTGATAGTGAAGATGGTCAGAATGTTGCTTAAAACTGTGTGCAGGCTTTGTACAGAAGGGTAAGAATTAAGGCGTTTAAATTTTAATTATCTTCTATAAGAAAAACACTTTTTAATTGTACTATGGTCATGTATAATTTTATCTACATATTTTCCTTCATTCCTTCCCTCACTCCCCTCT